AAAACTTTACTGATATTAGATAATGCCCCTCTTCATTGAACTACACTTGATTCATTTTGTGAGAATGGGAGCATGCAAATTCATCAAGATGAGGATAAAGCTTTCTACACCTGCCAGAGTATGTATGAACATTTGAAGAAAGGACAGTTCAGTCAATGCTGCTAAAATATTTTAAACAACAATAATAATGTTTTCATCATATAATCACTGTAGGCTTATCTTTAGGTATGACATTCATTAGTTTTAAAAATTTTGTAATATTTTAATTTGCTTTCTGTAAGTACTCTATTAGTTTGTTTATAATAAACTTGAATTGGATATTTTTCTTAATATATGTGCTTCCAAAGCAAAGTGGAATACAGTTTCCTTATCCCTTGCTGTTATATTAATAAACGGGTTTTAAAAACTTATTTAAGACAATTTTATGGCTTCAAATAGTATGAGTTTGAGTACTATCACTTCACGGAATTATTTGTGCTAATCAGGACCTAGCTGTTATCAATGGAAATTGTAAATTATTGTAACTTTTCCTGTGGACTTTGGCAAATCACTGAACTTCTATAATAGCCAGTGACATCATCTGTAAAAATAAAAAAGTGAAGGTATTAGATTTTATCAATAACAAGACTATTAAGCACCTAGTATATGCCAGGCATTGTGCTAAGGAGTAGAGATATAAAAAGTGAGACAGTCCTTGCTCAGGTCCTTCCATCAGGGACTATATTTTACCAAGATGCTGATAGCATGCATTGGTATAGATCTGTGATGTCCTCAACCTGGCTACTTCTTCCAGCAGTTTAAGCCCAGACACTCATTCTGTGAATGTGGCTTTTTAATCTGTGTACTCATGTAAATCTCTACAAGGGATCCATCCCCCATACTTGGATCCTTCCTTTCAGATGTCTTGACTTTGCATGGAAAAGAAAAAAAAACTGTAGTAAATAGGCTATTCACAGGCTCTGTGGTATTTTTGCCACATGACTAGTGTACTTTCTTTTCTGGCAATATATCTCTCATCATATTGTTCTCCTATGCAATTTAGCATGTGGTAGTAGATAGAGCATTGAATTTAGCATTAGAAAGAATTCTTCCTCAAGACACGTAATAGCTGTGTGACCCTGGACAAAGCCCTTAACTGCTATGTGCTTCAGTTTCCTCATCTGTAAAATGGCAAAAATAATAACACCTGCCTTACAGAGTTGTTGTGAAATTCAAATGAGATGATCTATGTAAAGCATTTGGTAAAGCTTAAAATACCACATAAATGCATGCATATTCTGGGGGAGCTACAGCCTATTTCTCTAGAGTCTATAGTATTCAATGACAAAGCCATACGGAATCATGGAAAGAATTTTGTCATTCCTAAGCAACATGTTTTTATTAAGCATCTACTTTGTGCCACGGTGCTACTAGGTTTTGGGAATCCAAATAGTTTAGTTTTAAAGGGCTTTCATATATGTATTATCCGGTTGGTCCTCGTAATGATCACAAGTTATATAGTTGTAATTATTATTATCTGAGTATTTCAGATGAGGAAACGTGTTTAGAGACATGGGTCCAGCATTTAAACCTAGATTATTGTGTAATACAAAGTCCATCATACTTGGAGTCAAAAGACCTGCTGTGTATCCTGTGGTTACTAGATGCTTATTTACTCAATCAATGAAAACATATAATCTAGACCTGTGGTTCTTAAGGAATAGTCTAGAAACAAATAAGACGTAGGTATAAAAATCCCATGAAATTATTTATGTCGATTTATGATCTGAATAAATACTTATGCTTTAATAAAAGACAAATATAGCTTAGTGACATCCCACCAAAAGCACCATCAATGTGCTTGTTAATTCTGGCGAGGTCTTGCTCTCTCTCTCTCTCTCCCTTTCTCCTCCCTCCCTTCCTCCCAAAGTGATCTCTCTGAGGTATGAAATTGTCAATAATCTTGAAGAGTACTGGGGAGACACTTGTTCTTGATGAGTGAGGACAGAGTCCATAAAAAAAAAGTTTCAAAACCACTAAAACTCCAAAACGCACCAGAACCGTGAAATTGAACTCAATAGCACTCATTGATTGAAAAGGTCAAGCTCTTAGGTTAAGATCTCTTGTACTTCTGAGAAAGCATTACTGTAGTTAGTTTTCAGTTGGAATGAAAACTAATACGTAAGAATCTTTTAAGACCTCTTTGCCTGTGCACTGTGCTGTCTAATCTGTGTATGGTTTTGTTTTTTGTGCTTGAGTCTACAAGAGAGGGGGAATAAACTAAATTCACTGCAGCTACAAAGCCTATGTGGACTGTCCCTTGTCAAAGGAGATATTTGCAGGTGGGCTAGCTGCAGAGATGGACTTTTATGTGGCCACATTGCTGGTTGAGTGTGGGTAGAGAAAGTGATTATTTCCACACAGCTTAATTCAGTGTAGATAGATCTGATCAATTCTTCTAACAACTTAGTATATACTTCAAAAACAAACTGTACGTAACAGAGATTCCTGTTCCATATAAAATTCTCTTTTTCTGTTCTTGGTAAATGGAAAAGTTCATGTTTATTGAAATTTGTCAAGTTCATAATAAAAAGAAAATTGCAAAAAATAATATAGTCAGCTTTAGAAAACTAATTTCAAAATAAACATGAATATAAACAGCCAGAGTTTTTTTCTAGTATAGAGACAACTCGTATAAGTTTGGAACAAGTATCTTGGTATGTATCCAAACAAAGCACAGCTGCGAACTTGGCTTTATTTATTTATTTATTGACTATGTGGAGTTTCAGTTCTTTCCATAATGGAGGGTGGGAATAAAATAATTATTATTTTTGGTAAGCATAACATTTCTTCCTCTTAGTTTTGGATAAACTGACACTTAATAGTGTTATACTTTGAATCTTGTGGACTTTTTAAACATGAAGTAAGGAATTATATGTTAGTAGCAAGTGTTTTGGTGCTTTGGGCATATCTCTTTTATATTACCTTCTCCTATAAGATTACCCTCCAGTTACTCTGTATATCTTACATATATATATATTGCTTAGTTATTTGCATATTGTCTGTCCCATTAGAATATGATCTCCTTGAAGAAAGGTACCATGTGTGTCTTCCTTAGTATTCCCAGCACTCAGCACAGTGCCTGACACATACATACAAAGTGCATGATAAATACTTGTTAATCTCCTGACTGACTTCTCATTCTTATTACATGACCAGCTCACCTCTTTTCTATTCATGCATGTCCTTGATTGTATCTTTTGTATGACTTTATACTACGTGTTCATCCTACTTAACATTATACATCTTTCTATTGTTCTTTGGGTTGCCTGCGTTTATAATGTTTGCTTATGATGGGACAATGAGTTAGGAGTTGCTTATTGTTATTGAAGGGAAATCTAGGGTCCAGATTGGAAGCTGTGACAGAGGCAGGAAAGACCAGGGACTGACTCTCCTGTAGGAAGTTAGAGAGTCTGAAAAAGAAGAGGGAAAAGGAAAGTTTATATTCCTTATTCCCACTGGGCTGGATAACATGAGTTCCTTTCCCTACTCAAGCTTTTCCATATGTAGAAGAATAAATGTATGCTAAAATTTTAAGGAAAGATGAGCTTCTTTGTACAAAATTATTTCCCAGCAGGGCCCCAAAACTGAGAAAGCTAATGAAGCTGTCTACCAACTATTCCCATTTCAGTGTGATTTAGTCCAAAATCAGCTTGCTAGTCTAAAAACTTAACAGAATTATCAGGTAAGGTGGATTTGAGAAAGGAGGAATTGGAGGTAATCTTGGAGGCTCAGGTGTTCTAGAAGAGAATAGAAGAGGTTTTTAGAACATAGTAGGGGAACTTTTCAGTAGCTATCAGACGGCATGATGATACTGGGTTCCATAGAGGAAAAGGAAGAAGGAAACATAAGAAGTCACAGAAATGGAAGTGAGAGAGGATCAAAGACATACTGAGATTTTATACAAACAAATTTTTAGTTTTTAAATGGCCAGATAAGCCTTCCATAAATATAGGGAAATTTTCTTTTTCATCCCTGGGTGTGTCTGTTTGTAAAGGTACAGATGAAACCTGCTAAATTGGGAGTCTCTTCCTGTCAGCAGTTTTACAGTCAAATGTTTAAGTAAAATTTAATTTCTCAAAAATGAGGGGAAAGATGTTTCAAACTTTTAATAAAAGCTTGATACACACAGGCAGTCACTACTTCTAGTTTCTTTTCAGTTCAGCCTTCCATACATTTCATGTTGCTAAATGTCATCCTATATTTCACTTTTTGACCATTTGAACTCACTCTGAGCATTTTTATTGATGCATGTTATCTTGAACTGAACTGCAGACTACGTTTTTTAAAGAGTGATTCCTGGAATGTTTAGAGGTCAAGGGGATTTTAGAGATCTTGTGGTCAAACTCTTCCCTCTTTTGGCAGATAGAGAAGGAAACTGCAGCCCAGAGGAGCAATATGATTTCTCAACAGTCCCACCAGTGGTGCGCTTAGGAGCCAGGATTCAAACCAAATGCTTAAATCTAGTATTCTTCCCACTCTATATGATGCTTTATCTGAGCCCAACACCAGGTTTAGGTACATTGGGGCTTAAAAGGAAGAAGTTCATGGTTCTGTTATGAAAATAAGACTCAAAAACATGAAGTAGCCAGGGATGGGAAAAGTGTTGAATTTGGAGTCAGAGGCCCTGGGTTTCAGTTCGTGCTGTGATTTTGAGATCACTGCCTGTGGATCTCAAAAGGGTTCCTTTACCTCTCTTAGCCTTAGTTTCCTTTTCTATGAAATGGGGAGGTTGGACTAGAAAGCTTCTATCTTCCTGCTCTAAATCTATAATAATAAGCACTATATAATCTTACCTCTGTTGGCTTTGAGTACACTTTGTGAATTTTAATATTCTAATTAAAGTTGAAGGATTCCAAACTCAACATATTTGTACATACAACATTTGGTATACTATAGGAATGATTTGGGCACATCTGTTTGCAACAGGAAAATTTATCTCAAGCAAAAAGGAGAGAGCCATGCTTGCTTCGGCAGCACATAAACTAAAATTGGAACGATACAGAGAAGATTAGCGTGGCCCCTGCACAAGGATGACTCACAAATTCATGAAGCATTCCATATTAAAAAAAAAAGAGAGAGCCATTCAGTCTTCAATGAACCTCTTTTTTTGCTTGTTTGAGAAACTCAGGCACATAGTGTTTCTCCCTTTCTAAATTCAAAGAAAGAAAAGAAAGCATAGTTTTTGTTACTTTTACATGTAATACTCTATACCTACCAAATTAATGTCTTATTATATAGTTCTGTTTCCAGTGTGTTGTGTTTATATGTATATTTCATAGTACATGAAGGTTTCTTGTATAATCAATGTATATGGAACATTTATGTCCATTTTGTAAGACTTGTAACAGTTTATAGATATTTTGTATTATTGTAAAGGTTTATGGTAGTTGAGGCTTAGCTTTTATGGTATAGGAATGATAACAATATATATTATCTGATACTGAATCTTTCATAAGCGTAAGTCTTAATTGTGCCTTTTTTTTTTCTCAAGGGAACATACAGTCAACTTCACTATATAACTTCCAAGATCACATTATATTGAACTACTTATATGATATGGACTCTTTATTATTTAGTCATCAGGGAAGAGGAACTCAGCTACATTAATTTTGAATGTTTTCTTTTAAATGTTTGTTGGGAGTGAGGATTACAGTAGGGAGAAGAGATAACGAGCAAATTAAATAAGCTCATCTGACAGCTGCCTACGGTGGCTCAGTGAATATGCCTGGGCCTTGTAATTTAAAATCTAGCTTCAGGGAAGTTATTTTCATTATTACTCTAGGTATCATAAATCATCTTTCTGTTACCTCCCACAACTATCATTCCCTCTATGTTTATAAACACTAGGAAGAGAAATGGCTGCTTGGATGGCTAGAACTATATTGTTTAAGTGATGTTAAAGTTACATCCTCCACTTAGATCCTATTCCGTGTTCTGATATGACATTGAGGTGACTCTGGGTTCTCAAAGGCTTGTCTAGTAAAGTACAAGTTCTGGCAGGTCCTACCAAACTTGAAAAGCTGTGAATAGGCTTGGAGGTGATGGATTTGTCTGTGATGTGACCCAATTCAGAGAAGCCATACTGCCTGTTCTGAATTCGTGTAATCATATTATCATGTTATACATATCTTCTCTACAAGAATAGCATGAGATATTTTATCAAAAGATCTCCTGATATCTGTTGAACTATACAATATTTCCTTTCTTCTGCTGCCAGTTTGGTAATCCTATCAAAAAAGGAAATGGAATTAGTTTGGCATCAGCTGTTCTTGATGAAGCCATGTTGGCCCTTATTATCACCTTTTTGTCCTTTTTAGATGTTTACCAACCATATCCTTAATAATCATTTGTAGAATATTTTTTCAGGAATAGAAGTCCAGCTCACTGACCTAGGTTTTCAGATTCTGTTCTCTTACCCTTCCTTTTTTTTTTTTGGAAAATGAGGACATTTTCATTTCTCTGATTTCATACCTTTCTCATTCTCCATAATCATTCATATATCTCTGACAGTGGCTCAGCAATCTGCCAATTCTTTTGGTATGTGATGATGTAATTTATCTAGGCCTTACTTATGTTAACTGCTTATCTCCCTGTTAGTCTTTTTTCTTATCTCTTTTCCAGTTTACAATTTATTCTCCTATGCATATCAAATTGAAACAAAATAAGAATTTTACAGCACTTCCTTCTGTTTATTGTCATCAACCCCAGCCTTGTCTTTTTGGATTTCATTTGGGACATTTCCATTCTTTTTGTATATTTTCCTACATGTCATATATTATGAAAAACCATTTCTCAGTGATTTCAAGTTAGTGTTATCTTTCAAGATATAGCCAAGGTAGCTGAGTAGCAGGAAAAGTGTAGCCCAGCTTCCTGTCAACAGCTCTAACACAGTTTTAGAAAAAGCTCCAGAAGAGGTTCTGATGGACAAATCTAATAAAAAATCATAGTGAGTCCTTTTTTCAGCCCAGAGCAGTAAGAGAGGGACTATGCACCAGGGCAATATAATACATTCCAAATGCAGCACAGAGGAGCCTGCCAAGGGTTCCAGTTTGTAGCTCCCTTATTTTCTATCCAGTTCTAGGTCTCACGTCCCAGACAGATGGAGGGGACCAGTGTCTAAGGATGGTGTTCTAGAGTGAGAAGGGATTCTATGTACTGCGTACTGAGCAAGTTCAGATAAATGAAGCAACTGTATGGCTCTGACTTCAAAAAAGGAATGAGCTACTAGCCCAGTCTACAGTCTTCTCTGAACTAACCAGGGCAGGAGTTCCAGACCAAAGGGCAGCCTATGGTTGCTGATGATGGCTGAGACCAGTGACAGTCTACTAGAATTCCAACTGGTTCAACTTCACAGACCTGTTGATCAGACTCAAACACGTGTGAAAAACTTGTAGAGCTCAGATAAGGAGAGCAGTGAGTCTTTGCCTTGGATCAGAAAACCTGGAGGTTCTTAGCTTGAGCTGACCAGCCCAGACATTCCCTTCAGAAGGGTGAAGACCCCAGCCCTGACATGAAGACTAAAGTCAGGAAGTAGGCTGTGGAAGAATGAGTGAACAAAGAATCACACCATAATGAGCTATTATGTTGACACAGACATTTAAGACACAAATCTAGAAGAGAATTACTCCAAAACAAAATGGCACAAGTTTAACTAGAATTCCTGGAAGAGATGAAGCAAGAGGTTTTTTTATTTGTTTTAATTTTTTTGTCTTTTTTAATGAAATGAGAGCGCTAGGAAAAAAAATTGGGAAAGAAATGAGAGCTATGGAAGAAAGAATTAGAAATTAACAGCTTGGCACAAGCCTACAAAAATTTGTCCAAGGAACAAATGCCTTGAAAATCAAAATGGACCAGATCAAAGTTAATAATGCCAAGATACAATGAAGAAGTATCAAATCAAAGTGAAAAGTCTGAAATGACAAAAGAAAATGTTAGGTTTTTAATACCTTTAAAAGCAACTGACCTGAAAAAAATAGAATAAGAAGAGATCATTTAAAAAATCATTGGACTACCTGAAAGCTAGAGGAAAAATGAAAAAAAAAAATAAAAGCTTGGATATCATATTTCAAAAACTCATAAAAGAAAACCTCCCAAATCTCTTAGTATCATAGGGCAAAGTAGAATTAGTAAAAATCCATTAGGCACTGCCTGAAAGAAACCCCAAGATGAAAACTCCCAGGCACTTTATACCTCAAATCCTGAGCTTTCTGGCCTAAGAAAAAGTACCACAAGCTGCTAGACAGAATGAATTTAGATACTATTAACAACCACCATTATAGAGGAGGGGAGAGACAAGGATGCTATATATTCCAGAATGCAAAAAATATGGGCTTACCCATGTAAGCTGAGTATTATCCTAAACAAGGGAAAATGGGCCTTTAAAGAGAACTTCCAAGCATTCCTGATAAAAAGACCTGAGCTAAAATAGGGACTTTGAAATAAAAATACCCAGGAGTCAAGGGAAACATTAAAAAAAAACAAACAAATAAACCAAACAACATAAACATGAGCAAGCAACCATAAAGGACTGAACGAGGATAAACTGTGCACATTTTAATAGGTAGAGGTAATATATGTCTCCCTTTGTCTATTGTACTATACTTCTAAATTAATTTAGACAATATTAGCATTTTGATTATTGTAGCACGGTAGAATCTTGCACATTTATTTCTTCTCTAATTAATTGAGTTTGTCTTTATTTTTTAAAAGAATGTTTTGTGGATTTATTCATATAATTCCTATGTGGCTTAATAAATGGATTCCCAGGGCGCAGCTAGGTGGCATCAGCCCTGAAGTCAAGAGGACCTGAGTTCAATTCCGGCCTCAGACCAAACACTTGCCACTTACTAGCTGTGTGACCCTGGGCAAGTCACTTAACCCCAATTGCCTAAAAAATAAATAAATAAATAACTAAATGAATTCCCAGGCATTTTCCACAATCTGTAGTAATTTTAAATGGAATCTTTCTTCCTGTCTTTCTTCTGAGTTTTCTTGGTAATGTACAGAATAGGTGATGGTTTTTGTTGATTAATTTTATATCCTGCTAATTTACTTAAGTTATCATTTCTATTATTGAGTTGCTAGGGTTCTTTAAATAAAGCAACAGACCTGCAGAAATAATTTATTCTTTCTTTGTCTATTCTTATAACCTAATTTTTTTCATGTCTTGTTGCTATAACTAACATGCTTTTAGAAGTATATCAAATAATAACTTCTTAATTTTGAACTAACCCTGCATTCCTAGTATAAATCCAACATGGTCTATAGACCATGATATGATATGATGATTTTAATATGCTGTGTAACCTTCTTACTAACATTTTATTTAATATTTTGCATCCCTATTCATTAGAAATATTGGTCTATAGTTTTCTTTTTCTGACTTCTTTATCTTTGGTTTAGGTACCAAGATTCTATTTGTTTTGTAGTTTGGTAGCGTGGTATCTTTCCCTATTCTTTCAAACAATTTATGTAAAATTAAATTAATTGTTCTTTGAATGCATGATAGAATTCAAAGTAAATCAATCTATATTTCCTTTTTTAAAAAAAATTAGTGGCTGATAATTCTTTTATATTTCTTTTGGTTTTATTGTAATTTCATCTTGCTCATTTTCTGTTGATTTGCTTTTCCGGTTTAGTAAAGGTTGATCAAATTTGTTATATCAGTTTTTTTTTTTAAGAATCAACTTTTAGTTTTCTTTATCACTTCCATATTCTTGGATTTACAGATTTTTTTTCCTACTTTAATTTTCATTACTTCCTCCTTTATAATTATCTTGGGTTTGGTAGCTTTCTAATTTTTAAAAAATACACATTCAATTTGTTTATCCTCTACTTTTCTCTTTTGCTAATATATATTTTTAGGCATTTTTCCCCTGGGGATATTAGCTGCATCCCAGAAATTTTGATATGTTCTGTCATTATTATTTTCTTTCACATAATTATTGTTTCTATAACACTAATTGTTTCTAGGGTTTGTTCTTTGGTCCTACTCATTATTTAGTATTTCCTTAAGTCAGGTCTCCATTTTGGTCTGTGTCTTTTGTTTGTGCTCCTTTAACGGTG